CAACTTGCTCTTACTGCAAGTCCCCTCATCCCCTTAGAGTCTGCCCACAATTTAAGCGAATTTCGGTACTAAACCGACTACAATTCGCAAACCAAACCAAGCTGTGCAAAAACTGCCTTGGTAATACCCATAGCACTAATGAGTGTCCGAGCAAGTGGTCATGTACACATTGCCAACAACGGCATCACTCCCTGCTGCACATGAATCCCAAACCACAATCTCGACACTCCAGTGCGCGAGCGAATGAAACCGCCGCACAACACACTACTGCCCAGTCGAAACCTTCCGCTCGACAAGCGCAGTCAAGCTCCGATTCCAGCGAGCAACCGTGCTGTTCCAAACAAACACAAATACAATCATTGCATACCGACAATGATAGCAAAATGCTCCTTCCAACTGCCATGGTCGCAGTTGAACACGATGGTGAATTGTTTCAACTTAGGGCCCTGATTGATCAAGGTTCACAAAGAACTTTCATTTCCTCGAAAGTTCAGAAACGGTTGAAACTACTATTCGAACATTCCAAGTTCGAAATTTCCGGCATGGGTAGACATGTAGTGCAAAGCTCCTCAAAGCTTTGTGCACTCACATTGGTTGCACCCAAAACCATGCAAAGGATAACACACACAGGCTATCGTGTTACCTCAGCTCACGAGGCAAATTCCTACATTCACCATTAGCCGTGAAAACTGGCAGCGATTCAAGATCCTTGAACTTGCTGACCCCAGCTGTCACATACCAGCTCAAACTGATTTGGTAATCGGCAGCGATATACTTCCACAGATCGTGCTGGAAGGTATACAAAAGATTTGCGACACTATACTTGCGCAAAGAACAATATTTGGCTGGATTCTCAGTGGTCCAATAACCGAAAATGTGGTGTCATTCTCGACACAAGTAGAAGAGTGCTCGAATACAACTCTCAGCTCTCAGCTTAGAAAGTTTTGGGAAGAGGAGGAGATTCCACAACCTCCACAAATTTCACCTGAAGATCAGGCATGTGAGCATATATATGCAACAACAATGACTCGTACCCCAAACGGTCGATACATTGTGCGACTTCCATTCAAGGAAGAATTTCCAAAAAAGCTGTCTCTGGGCAACTCTCGGTCCGCTGCCCTCCACAAGTTTTTCAGTATGGAGCGATCGCTCCAGAAAAAAGGAGACTTAGGCACAATGTACAATAATGTGTTGCAAGAATATCTCGATCTCGGTCATATGGAGCACACGAAGCCATGCGAGATAATATCTAATGGCAAATTCTAATTGCCACATCATGCGGTCGTCAAACCAGATAAGGTGACTACCAAAGTTCGCGTGGTATTCAACGCCTCAAAAACATCTGTTTAAGGAAAATCCCTGAATGACGTGTTGCACACTGGTCCAACACTCCAGCCAGATCTCATGCTGCTCATTTTGCAGTGGCGAATGCACAGATTCGTGTTCAATGGCGACATTGAAAAAACGTATCGTCAAATACTCGTCCATGAGGACGATAACGATTTTCAGGGAATCTTGTTTCGCTCGTCGGCTGACTCTCCTGTCACCGATTGTAATCTTAAAACCGTAACGTTCGACGTTAATTGTGCACCATATCTCGCTATCCGTACCCTGCATCAATTAGCAGATGTTACGATAGCGACATTTCCCTTGGCTGCCGCAAATCGAAACGTATGTGGATGACATCCTTTCCGGAAGTCATGATATTGACAACGCCACTGAATCACTTTTTCAAGTGATCAAAGCGCTTAAGTCAGTTGGTTTCGTACTCAAGAAACTAACGGCCAATCATCCGGTCATTTTAGAAAAATTTCCAAAGGAGGATCTTCTCGACTTCAACTTTTTGAAATTTGAGAGCGCTTCCACAGCCAAAACTCTTGTTATACAATGGAACGCACTCACAGATAAATTTTCATACACCATTCTGCCTGCATCGACTTCTAATGCCGTCACAAAGCGACAAATTTTATCTTCTGTCGCAAAATTTTTGACCCGACAGGATGGCTATCGCCAGTAATGATTCAAGCAAAGATTCTGCTTCAAGAACTTTGGCTGGATGGCGTTGAATGAGATGAATGTGCCAAACCCATAGCTTTGGCAAAATGGCAACAGTTCGCAGAAAATTTGCCAGCCATATGTCACATCGAAATCCCTCGATGGGTTAACTTCACTCCGGGGCAAGACACCCAAATCCACGGGTTTTGCGATGCCTCGGAAAAAGCATATTGCGCTGCAATTTACATCCGCGTAGATGCTAGCAACCAAAGATATTCCACTCTCTTGGTTGCAAAAAGCAAAGTCGCACCATTGAAGATGGTAAGCTTGCCACGCCTGGAGCTGTGTGGTGCAGTCTTACTCGCAAAACTGGTCGCAACTGTTCGAAAACAGCTCAAATTGGAATCGTGCAACACATTATTATGGTCAGATTCAGAGATTGTGCTAGCTTGGCTTGAAAAGCCACAATGTACATGGAAGACGTATGTATCCAATCGTACCTCCTAAATCCGGGAATATCTTCCAACCGGTACATGGCGCCATGTTGCCAGCCAAGATAATCCAGCCGACCTCGGCACCCGCGGGTGCAAACCGCAGGAGTTGGCGAATTCAAAGGCGTGCAGTGCATCTCCACCAGAAAAGCGCAAGGTGGAGGTATATCACGCGCTCGAAGAAGAGGTCGATTTTCTTGATCGCTTTTCTTCCTTCTCTCGAGCACTTCGCGTGACTGCGTACATGTTCCGCTTCGGGAGCAATGCACGCAACAAATGAAAGGGGTTAGCAACAATCACTAATCCACATCTGACGCATAACGAATTTCAATATGCAAAGATACGTCTTATCAGCGCAGCGCAATCACGCCATTTTTCGAGCGAAAAAAGCGCTTTGCAAGATAAAAAGCCACTTAACAAAAAAGTTCTCTTTTTGTTCTCAATCCTTCATTGGACAAAGACGGACTTCTACGGGTTAATGGCCGATTAGCACATTCCACATTGAGCTATAATGAAAGGCACCCAATAATTCTCCCTACCGAATCGAGGTTCTGCCAGTTATATTTGGAGTTTTTACACTCTCTGCTTCTTCACGCAGTAACACGATTAATGCTCCAAATGGTAAGGCAAGAGTACTACATACCAAAGCCAAAACCTCTAATTATAAAATGCATTTTTCAATGCAAGGTGTGCACGCTTTACAAGCAACAAACACGCACCCAAATAATGGCCGCTCTACCCCCTGAGCGCTGCAGTTTCTCACTCCCATTTTCCACAACGGGAGTAGCCATTCCAAATTAAAGCATCGGTTCTAAGATCTACAACCCTTATCTAGGCATACGTTGCAGTTTTTGTCTGTTTTTCCACAGAGGCAGTGCATCTCGAGCTATGCTCGGATCTTACAACCGAGACTTTTCGAGCAGCATTCGCCCGCTTCGTTGGTAGACGAGGCTTCCCCTCAAAAATGATGAGCGACAATGGAAAAACGTTCATTGGCGCCCAGCGCGCAACAGAACGCGACTTCGTTAAATTTCTTAACGAATGTTCCGCAGACATTGTCAAAAAATATGCCACTCAAGGCATCAAGTGGCAATATATACAACCCAGCGCCCCCCACGTGGGCGGCTTGTGGGAATCTGCAGTGAAAAGCTTTAAAATCCATTTAAAGAAAACCGCTGCAACCCACAAGTTTACTTTCGAAGAATTCACGACACTTCTGGTGCGAATGGAAGCAGTCCTCAACTCGAGGCCTCTGTCCGCACTTTCCCAAAACCCAGCTGATATGACAGCTCTTACTCCGGGTCACTTTCTTCGAGGTGCACCGCTGTTGGCCATTCCCGAGCCTAATGCGGAAGACCTCTCTCTACTAAACCGGTGGGAGAAAGTCAAAGCACTTCACCACCAATTTAGTCGCCGCTGGAAAGAAGATTACCTCAAAGATCTTCAGAAGAGATACAAGTGGAAAACCTCACAACGCGATCCTCAGCCAGGCGACCTTATCGGTATCAAAAAAGATTCGCTCCCCCCACCGAGTGACGATTGGGACGACTCGAAAACGTTCGCCACAGCCCTGATAACCACACACGTGTCGTAGAAATCCGTACGCAAAATGGAGTTATCACGCGGCCACTTGTCAAACTGTGCTTCCTTCCACAATAAATAATTCTACACATCTTTTTCTTTTGTATATTAAGGGTCTTAACTTCCCATTTAAATATTATACCCAAGTACTCCTCGTTTCTCTGCCTTTGCTTCTACTTCCAGATTGAAGACATCATGGCATCGCGGAAGGCATGCCCCCTGGCTCCAACGGCAGAGACGGATAACTGCCTACAATGCCGGCTCTGCCACCGGTACCACGCCTTGAGGACGTGCCCGACCTTCAAGGCAATGAAGCCGCCACAACATTTGGGAGTGGCCCGCGCACAGGGCTACTGCGTCAACTGCCTCGCGCTCACCCACACTACCGGAGAATGCGACTCACCAGGCAGTTGCAAGACCTGCGGGCTAGCGCACCACACGCTGCTGCATGTGGCAGCCAACACCCATGCGCGCAAGGGGCCAAGGGAAGAAGGGCCCAAGCAACGAAAACCGGCCACAAAGGCCCCAAGGAGCAACAAGGGGCGCGCACCACCGAAGAGGAAGGCGCTAAAGACCGCACAGCAGAAGGCGCAGAAGAATGCGCAAAACCACGGAAGGCAGGCGCCGCAGCCACCGCGCAAAAAGACCGCCCAAAGGACGATCGCGCGCACCCCCAAGGCCTGCAAACGGCCAGCTACCAGGGCAGCACCACTAACCGCGTCCTGGGCAACACCATCCGCGCGCTAAAAGAGCTGCAGAAGACACTGAGCAGCGCATTCCTGCAGGGCGGGGAGAATGTTTAAGCCGCCGCTTAAAGCGCAATACGACGGCCATGCGCGCAATCCTTGGCCGCAGCAGTTTGGCAGTTGACCGACGTGAACTCCGAAAATACAACTACCGAGCGCGCACGGCCGCCTCCCCATCGTCGTAAAAAATCAGCAGAAGGCAGTTCAGCTATCATCGTCGGACTACGCGCACGCGCCCCCTGAAAGCTAGTATTTGTAGTATGTACAATCTATAAGTGAAAACATAAACTTTAATTGTAATAAAAAGCTCATGAATAAACTGAGGTGAACTTTGTGAATTTAAAATTGAAAACTGAAGTCTTTTCCTTCAAACGGAAATTAGATGAGGTGAGTGCGAAGGGACCAAGCGAACGAGATATTCAGTCCCCTATTTTCAAACAGCTCCCAAGGGGTCTGTGGGTGGTGAGGGACAGGGGTGACTTTTCATAAAGTGTAGTCCATACTCTTTCTTTTAGGAAGGGAAGAAGGGGAGCCACGCTTCCTCCCCTCCGCCTCTCCACAAAATCGTTGTACAAATAACTAAACCGTACCCGGTATTTGATAATTTTTATCAAAATATTAATAATCAAAAGAAAATATGAAACCATGGTGTTTTTATATTTTTATATGCCTTAGACTTCTGTTACATATACTTTTGCTTTACTTTAACAGGGCTGTGGGTAAACAAGAACCAACTAACGCTTAAAACATTATTAATTATTTGCTTTATTTAAGTACGGTTTTCAATTGTATTACTAATTAGTAATTGTTTTGAATTTTTTTTTTATAAGAAAAAATTGGTATCTATTCCTTTTACGTATTTTTTCTCAAATTTTTATATACGAAGTATACAAATATGCATATTAGATGAAAAGGGGTTTAATCGCCTTAACAACGATGCCAATTCTTTAAAAATTTGTGAGTAATTTTTTTGCTTAATATATTTTTTGATAAAAAAAGTTATTTTTTCCTTTTAAGTGTTTTTTCTAATATTTTTATTCACGAAGTATACAAGTAGGCATATCAGAAGAAAATTGGCTTTATAACGATATGAATTTTTTTAAAATCGGTTAGTAATTGTTTTGTTTAAAATATTTTTTTTATACAAAAAAAGGTGTTTTTTCTCAAATTTTAATATACGAGGTATACAAATTTTCATATCACAAGAAAGGGGGTTAAATCACCTTTACAACGATATAAATCTTTTAAAAATCTGTTAAAAATTTTCTGAAAAATTAAGTTTTTTAGTTTCTCGAAGATCTGACCTTTGACCCGTTATAGCACCTATAATATAAGTTTTCACAAAAAAAAAGTTAGGTACCATATAAATAAGAGCCGAGTGCTGTACAGTGTTATTAATATTCTTCATAAATTCATTTCTGCCAGCCAAAAGTATCAAAATGTGGCATTTGTGAACAAAAAAAGTATGTATGTATGTAAAAAGTAAGTAAAAGTGAAGTATCAAATCTTAAAACTTAAAAAAAAAGTACCAAAACGGCAACGCTGCTTATGATACATCAAATAAAAGAAAATCAGATATACATTTTAGAAAATTTATTTATGGACTATGTTTGGAAAAAACCCATAAAAACTAATTTTTTGTCACATATCTTTATTGAGTCTTTTATTTCCACAAATAACACACAGATTCACACAATATGTATATCAAACGAAAGATGTTTAAACGCTTAACGTAAAATAAAAATTTAAAAATTAATTATTACTGTGTGGCTAACGAACAAACGTTAAAAATTGACGAACAATAAAGAACAATCGACGAACTATCGATTGCAATACAAAAATCTTAATATGTACACTAATGTATTGCTAACGTCGCACATAGGATTATTTATGCAGAAAAACCGGTCAAAAGTAAGATATACCAATTGAAAACTCATGAAAACTCCCTCCGCTCTTTTCCCCTTGACATATGTCAACCTGAAAACGGTGAATGTTGTGATAGTTTTTTTTTTCTCCACGCTTTTAGTCGTTCTACTTGTTGCTTCGGTAATTGTTTTTAGTGAAGACCTATTTCAAGAAAAAACCTTTCGAACATGGTAGAAGAAGGCCATTTCTATCATCTAAGACTAAACTTAAGTAAACTGCTTTTATTATGGCCTTCTTTTAGAAAATTTAAAATCGGTCTATTTTGATATTTTTGTTGAATAATATTTTTAAATATTGGTATTTTTGTTTACTTGTCAAGGTTTGGCAAAGTTTGGTTCCTTGAAATAAATGTGACTACAGTCTCTTTGAGCAATTAAAGGAAAAATAATTTGGTTGCATGTTACGATGAAACGTAAAATTGTAATTTTGGATTTTATTTACAGAAATTTTCTATGTATAGTCATAAGTAGAGTCGCATTGTCAATAGGAATAAGTCTGACCTTTAATTTGGTAAAAATTCCATAACGATTGAATACTATTTGCTAAAAAAAAGATCTATGAAAAATCACGATCCATCGCTAGTTTTTTCCTACTTTTTTCTTCACCTGCAAAAAATAACTTAAAATATAAGAAAACGAATGCCGAAAAGTGTATTCGAGAGGCAACAGCTTTCATCGAAGCTGGGTACCCAAATTTACGGAGTTGCATACAGCGTTGCCGTTTTGATCCATATACTTCAAAAGTGATACGTATTTGTGCAAGATACTTTATTTTTTCGCTCATTTCGGGAGATACTTAAATTTTTCGCATAGTACAAAATTTTGATACATGTTAAAGAGAAAATATATATGTACATATCTACGATCTGGCAGCTTTTAAAATTTGATCGAAAATATTGAAACATTTTGGGGTCAAATAAGCTTAAAGAAAAATGCTTTAAATGATCTATGTATAAAGAGCTGACTTCATTCATTTTTAATTTACTTTACTTGCCACATGTATATTTTCAGATTTAAAATTGATCCAATATGAAAAGAGAAATAGAATTTCATTACAAACAGTTGAGAATATGATGGGGCGTATTCATAGTAAAAATAAAGTCGAAACTGATGGCAGTCTCAGCTTTTTGACAAAATTTCCAATGAGTTTAACGTGGAATGTATCACATAATTTGATAACTAACGTAAATGATCGAAAGCTAATAGTTTTAAGTATGTACATTAGGCTGGGTCGATTTTGTATGGGGGAAAATAATAATATTATGTAATAGTAATATTATGATGTCTTAGGTCTAAGCCAATTGTTATTAGCCACGAAAAATTAATTTAAAACATATCTTTAGCCCGCGCAATTGATTCAAAGTGTATGAATTTCGAAAATGAATCTTGGGCTTGTCATATCTATAGAATGCGTTAATTGTTATAAACAGGACGATATATCAAATTAAGGGTTATTAAATTTAGTACCTCACGTGCATTTATCATTTTTCAATAAGTCTACAAGTTTTTAAGATATTAAGATAAAACTTACAAAAACTATAATTTTGCCTTATGAATTTTCAATTCTTCATTACTTCAGCAACGAAGTGAAAAATACAGAAAAGTGAGACGAGATTTATTTCAAAGGTTTTAATGTTTTCGGATGTTTATATAATATTAAAATGACCATGGACTTGGTCACGCTGATTTGGTCAGTTTTCAAGATCGTGGTGAATGAAGTCAAACATGTATTGTCAAAGATTAAGAATCGTTTGATAAGTTATTAGTAGTTTCAAGGATATAAGTATTTATATACATTGACATAATACAATTAGGGTGAGAAACGCCCATTTTAAGTCCATTTATGCAGTCTTGAAAATTGGTGCCGACTGGTTTCGTTAGTCACCGAAGAAGCACATTTTTCGCGGTTTCTAAATTTGCAGTTATATGAAAGTAATTAATATAATAATTAGTTAATTCCATAATGTGGAAAGGTGACTGTAGGTAAATGCAATAGTCTTTAACATATCCTGGGAAATCCTTTTGACGACTCTCCAATCGGACGATATTGCTTTGCATACAGCTTGAACGAAAAAAGCACACTTTTCTGTAATCCGTTTTTTTTTTTCATTTAAAAGTTATTTATACAATTGAAGAGACATTTTTTTAGAAAAAAACTGGAGATCCACTTAAGTTTTTCGTATAAGTTTGGTAAATGTTATGCGATCGGTACGTAATGATTACCAAATTGAAGGCAAGACTTGCTGTTACTGATTTATGATAATAATATGATGAAAATCGTTCAGATTATAAACAGATTATTAGAAAAAAAATGTTGAACAAAATTTTTTGTCATTTTTCAA